GGGTCTGGGAGGTGGTGCCAAGCTCTAGCAATGGGGCGGGGCTGGCTCCGAGGTCCTGCAGCCAGTCGCTGGGCTGTGGAGATGAGGGACTGGGGCGCCAGCAGGCAGGAGTCGCTGACAGGAGTGCTCTGCCTGGCCTGCAGCGGCTTTCCCAGTTCACTCATTCATGACAACACAGACTCCCAGCTGCACCCTTGCCTGTGCTTGTCAGGGTGTGTTCACATCTGTGTCGCTCTCGTCCTCATCTTGCTGTGGGAGGTATGTGGACAGAAGGCTGCCGGTCCCATTGCGCAGTCCAGGCACCTGGCCCCGTGGAGGCAGGTGGCAGAGCAAGTTCCTATGGTGACTCCTGGTGGAACCTGGCTTGCACACAGCATGCACACAGCACTCCTTTCCAAATGGTTTGATTTTCTTTTTTTTATTAAGTCACAGCTGTGTACATTAATGCAATCATGGAGTACAGTGTGCTGGTTTTATATACAATTTGAAATATTTTCATCAAACTGGTTAACATAACCTTCATGTCATTTTCTTAGTTATTGTGTTAAGACGTTTATATTCTACTTTTAGAAAGATTCACTTGTACCCTTGAAAGATAAACCATAGAGGTGATCCCTCCAATCACCCTCCCTCCACCCATCCACCCCCCTTCCCATATTCTTAGGCTATAATTAGGTTATAGCTTTCATATGAAAGCAATAAATTAGTTTCATGATAGGGCTGTGTACATTGGATACTTTTTCTTCCATTCTTGGGATACTTTGCTAAGAAGAACATTTTCCGGCTCCATCCATGTAAACATGAAGGAGGTAAAGTCTCCATCTTTTTTATGGCTGCATAGTATTCCATGGTGTACATATACCACAGTTTGTTGATCCATTCGTGGATTGATGGGCACTTGGGCTTCACATTTCCTTTCCAATTCCCAATGCCTCCTGCTTTGTGACATACTTGAAACTGTAGTATCATATTTTGTACTGATTTTCTACCTTGCCCCCTGAAAGCCTCACACATCACATGCTTTGGTGTTTGCCTTTCTCTCAGTTAAGGAGAATTAAAAGCAAGTTTACTTTTTATCTCTTAGGACAAGTCCTGGGAAACCATACTTGGGACTGGTTGGTTGAGTAAATGGCTTCTGCACAAAATTTGTGTGAAGGAGCCTTAGTGAGAAGTGGGCCAAGGGTTAAGTCCTGCTGGGGGGGAGTTTGTTGGTTGAGTGTGGTGTGCAGTGTCATGTCAGAGTTCAGGGCACTGTATGTACAGAGACATCGTACAGCCACCATGGTGAGGAAAACAAACGGATGCCAGTATCCCTTCCCCAAGGTGTGCTTTCTGCCGCTTCAGTTACCTGAGATCAACCTCAGTCTGAAAATAGGTGACAATAGGACAATGAGATGTTTTGAGAGACAGAGAGAGAGAGCACGGTCATGTAACTTTTGCTATATTGTTATATATATTGTTATTGCTAATTGTTAATTGTTGTCCTATTGTACGAATAGCTATTGTTGTTAATTTCGTACTGTGCCTAATTTGTAAGTTATACTTTCTCATAGGTACGTATGGCCATGGACACGCACACACTGAAGCCTGTGCTGTGTGGGGCACTTAAGGGGCAAGGTAGAAAATCAGTAAAAATACGATACTATAGTTTCAAGTATGTCGCTAAGCAGGAAGGCATTTCAGGGTTCTGCTAGGGGGTTGGCGCATACCCCCCAAGAATAAGGAGGGTGCTATTGCATATGCTATTCATCTAAAACTCTGGAGAAGACAAACCCAGACTGTGTGACAGAAAGCAAGACGCTGGCTCGGCGCCTGTGGCTCGAGTGGCTGGGGCGCCAGCTGCATATACCTAGGGTGGCAGGTTTGAATCCAGCCTGGGCCCGCCAAAAACAACAATGATGGCTGCAACCAAAAAACAGCTGGGCATTGTGGCGGGCTTCTGTAGTCCCAGCTACTTGGGAGGCTGAGGCAGGAGACTCACTTGAGTTGAGATTGTGGTGAGCTGTGATGCCACGGCACTCTACCCAGGGGGACAGCTTGAGGCTCTGTCTCAAAAAAGAAAGAAAGAAAGAAAGAAAGAAAGAAAGAAAGAAAGAAAGAAAGAAAGAAAGAAAGAAAGAAAGAAAGAAAGAAAGCAGGACGCTGATGGGAGGAAGAGGGAGCAGGAGGTTGGGCTCAGCCCGGTAGGGGCAGGGACTTGTAGGCTAGTTATGCATGCACACTTTTGTCAAAACTCATAGATCCATGCACTTGAAACAAGTGCGTGGAAATGTCTATCTCAGTCAGCTGGTTAAGAGATGTGTAATTAGGGAAGGAAATACCTGCACAGTTCTCTGTTTTTCTTCTCGTTCTCACAGCTGTCTTGGGCATTTGTAACCTCAAAATGTGTCTGCAGTTTCAATAATTGTTGGGTTTTTCGTGGTTGCTTTTTGGGTTTTTGTTCCAACAACCAAGCTCAGAAAACACTTCTGCATGTGAGAATGTTGACTTTACGCCAGTCGGTTATGTAAGAACAGAGAAAGCACAATGCAAATATATATTAATTTGTTCCTTCTTGCTGAAAACATTAGGTGGAGATGCTTTTTGCCGTGACTCATACAACGCATTTGTACTCACCCCAGCTGCACATGCTCATTGGGCCCATTCTGATTTTTCACAAGCTTGTTTTACCATGCTGCCTTCACTCCTGCTCCTTGGGTTTGGCTTCATCCTTTGTTTTCTATGTGAATAAAGAATCCCTTCCTAGTGGGACATGGGGACCGGATGAGCCCTTTCTGAGCCTCCCTACTCCGAGTAAGGCAGGCCCAGTGTAAACGTGTGTGCAGATGCCCCCCCCCCCGCCCCCAGCCTCCTCTCTGACTCCTTTCTTCTTGCCCTTCCAGACTGCAGAGCCAGGTGCACACCTGCCAGGTGAAGGTGAGATTGAAGATAACCAGCTCCCCCCACACCCCGCAGAGCCAGAGAAGCAGGAGGGGAGCCAGGAAACCGACCACGATGATTGTGAGACGTTGTCCCACCAGAGTGAAAGTCGATCAGACACAAAAACTGATCCCTTTGAAAGTGCCTCCGACACAGAGTCCTTGTCTGGGGACCTCCCAAGGGGTGTCTGTTTCTCTCCAAGTGGGTCCTCTGTAGACAGAGAAGCATGCTGGAGAGGCCCTGATGTCCTGGCAGCCGGACCTTCTCAGGAGCAGCATTCGACCCATGTCCCTAGGCTTGATGCAGAGAAAGAACTAGATTTGTCCCCGGGCTTAACAGAAGAGTCTTGCAAAAGTGAGTCACAAGTCTGCACTGTAATCACTGGGGAAGAGGAGGCAACACACCTCTGGGACTGCACAGCCAGCCTGGAGTTAGAGTCGTGGCCGGCAGGGCACCCTCCCCATGCGGGGTGCTGCTCACCGGGTCCCACAGGCAGCAGCGGTCTCCACCTGGCACAGGGGGTGACTTCCAAAGACCTCAGGGAACTCTCTGGTGTTTCTCGTCAGAAATCCAGGTCTGAGAGCTCCCTCAGCATCCCAGTGGTCAGGCCCTTCCTTTTCTGGTGCTGTGAACTGGGTCGGAGTTGGCCCCATATTCACAACAGGGCCTGGGCTCCCGTGCTGTCGTGCAGAGATATGGTGGACAACTCAGCCCCACTAGAGGCCAGGACAAAGAAGGGAGATACTCCAGGCCCTGCAATGGACACAGACTTGCTCTGGCCCCAGCCCTGTTTTGATGCCCCCTGCCAACCTCCCTTAGGGACGTCTTGCCTCCTATATGCCAAGCGTCACCATAGTTCCCCAGAAGATATTGGTGATGAGGACAGGGTAGCCCTCGGGCACTGCTCTCGGCACATGAGGACACCGATCAGGGCCCAGTCCACAACAGGGCTTCCCCTGGCTCCCCCTGAGGATCCTGTGGGACGGAGCTTTGTGAAGTCTGGCTCCCATTTGAAGGAAGGGGCAGTAAAGAAACGAGATCCAAGAACACAAAGCACCCTTTCTTCTGTGTCCACTCGACCAACTCATTTGCTTCCTGCTTCTCAAAGTCGCAGCCCTTCTTTGCAGGATCTGTTCGACGAATCCACTGGTTTCAGCTTGAAAAAGTCCTCTCAGGACACGTCCCCTTCAGGTCCTAGGCAGGAAGACCCATTGGGACAGGATTCTGGGTCATGCCCAGTCGCTTTGCACCTCACTTCAGAGCTGGGGAAGCTCAGCATGGAGGCGGCACCAGGGCCTGCTGAGTGCCAGCTGGAGCACCGCCAGGAAAGCAGACCCGGGGGGTGCCCAGGCCCTCGCCCCGTACAGAGTGCTGCTGACGTCAGGGACAAACAGAAGCACCTTCAGGACAGTTCTGTCCAGGCAGGAAACCAAACCAGTAATTACACATCAAAGTGTGTTCTCAGTGAGAAGAGAAGGCTACCTGCTGGGGCCACGTTCCCACAGCAGCCCAGCACTGAGGGGACCCAGGTGTGGGACAGTGTCCCATTGGGCTGCCCCCAAGTGAGCGAGAGTTCAGGTGCCCCAGAGAGCGCCTTGAAATCACTGGCCACAGACACTTCAGGGGAAGCTGGAGAAGCTGTGGTTCTAGGCCCAGATGGCAGGAAGGATGCTTCCCAGGGTCTTTCAGAGTCCAGAGCCGGCTGGACCTCTAGCGGCAGGTGCACACTTATCATTATTGCTGTGGAGCCCAAAGGCCTCCAGGTCCCCAAGAAGAAAGGGGGTCTCCTTCCAGAAATGCTGGGGGCTGGTGATGGGGCGCTTCAGCTGGTGGCCCAAGCCACAAAGCCAGGAAAAGTTCTGGTTCTCCCAGCTGCTTCAGAAGAGGCTCTGAGCACAGAGCAACCCTCAGAAGAGAAAGTGCCTGGAGAGAGCCTGAGCCCGGGGCCTGAGGGCTCACACAAGGCCAAGGACCTGCACCCCGCTAGCAGCTGGAGCTGTCAGCATCAACAGTGCAGGCAAGGGGAGCACAGTGCAGGCGCCCCAGCCAGCCAAGCCCTGGAGGGTGGTGCTGCTGGAGCCATGGAGAAGGGCCCTGGGGAGCACCTGCTGCTTGCCAAGGTGACCCCCTGCAAGGGAGGCAGCCCTTCAGTCACTGAGAACCAGAGACTGGAGCACAGCAGCGGGGGCTCTTCCAGCTCCCAGGAGGTCCACACCAAGAGCCCAACAGGGATGGAGCCATCTCCCTGCTTCGTGGGCTGGATCACTCCTCCCAAGAGCATCCCCCGGGGCTCTGGTCCAGGGGCCACTGGGCTGGTAGAAGGAGGGGAAGCAGGGTCACCAGGGAAGCTCCGTAGCAGAAGACCTTCCTCAGAAAGCTGCAGTGCAAAGAGACTCAAAACAACGGAGAAAAGGCTCAGAGCAAGGTTGGCCTTAGCTCATAAAACCTTTTCAAATTTTTTTGAGTCAAAAGTTTTAGAAAAAGAGAATAGTGATGAACGTTCCTCAAGTTCTCCCAAAGGTCAGAGGAAGAGCAGGCCGCGCCAGAGCTCCTGGCGTGCGTTTCTAAAGGGCAAAGATGCAGAAGGCCCCAAGAGGCCCTCCCCAGTGAATCTGCTTCCAGGACAAGAAATCCCTGCCCCACCAGTTACCGACAGCCATTGCAAGGTGTGGGCCGAGGACAAGGAGGGCTGTGTTTTTAGCCACCACTGGGCGCCCCCACGTCCCTCCACACCTTTGTCCTCCAGGAGTTTGGTCTCTCCAGAACTCAGGAGGAGAAGTGAGCCATCTATCAAATGCACAGCCCCCCCGGAAGGTGGTAGGTACCTACCTTCAGGTATCTTTCCTGAAAAGCCCTGGCTGCCTTCCCCCTCCAGCCCTCGAGCCTGGCAGACAGGCACCCACCGTACCCTGCCCTCCAGCTCTTCCTGCTGCCTGGCACTCGATGTCCCCGACACGCCCTGCAGGCCCCTGAGCCCCAAGCCCCTGAGCCCCAGGCCTGGTGCTCTGGGCTCTGGTCTCCACTACCCTGGCAGGGCCAGTGCCATCTCCATGGTTTCTCTTGGAAGCTGCAGCGATGTGGACAGCAGTTCAGGGACCCCTGAAAGACCCAAGATTCCCAAGGTCCGGACAAGCCTCCTGCTTTCTCTGCAGACGCTAAACCAGGATGAGTGGAAGGAAGGGAACAGGCCAGGAGGCCAGCGTCCTCGCGGCCTGAGCCCAGCGCCTGGGCCCAGGGACCTTCCTGGAAGTGAGGTGAGCTCTCTGGGAACCACACCAGCCCCACAAGAAGGCCAGCGTCCTTGCGGCCTGAGCCCAGTGCCTGGGCCCAGGGACCTTCCTGGAAGTGAGGTGAGCTCTCTGGGAACCACACCAGCCCCACAAGGAGCGCAGCTCCCAGGGAACTGGCCTGAGTAAGCAGGAAGGCTTAACCAAAATTACACCCAGGCAGCACACCCCTGACCAACTTGTCGAAATTTATCAGACTAACAAGTGGAACTGGCATTTCAATATCTTTCTGTGTTGTTTTCTTTTTAACTATATTAATGCAGCCGTCTTAATTTCCTTTTCTATCAACTGTAGTCTCCTCATTTTCTATCAGGTGGTTGGTGTAGTTTTTTTCGCATCAAATTTAGTCCTTCTCCAATGTGACTTTTTAAAAAAATTTCTCCGTGCTGTCCTCTAGTACTTTACTGGTTTTTGTGTTATTTTATCTTATTTAAAATGTTACCCCATTGGTCTTATTTCGGTATATAAGGAGGTAGGAGTTGTTCGTGGTTGTGAAATAGTTGTAAAATAGTCTCATCTTGCAAGCGACCGCGTGGCCCAAGACAGCCAGCAGTGCTGGGTGGGAAACAGGAAGAGGCATACAAGGGTGGGATGTCGCCAGGAGATCTTTTTGGATATTCCAGAGTACTCTGAGGACTGTGAAAATAGCCTCCTCTGCTGCTTTAGAAAAGTGGGCCCTAACATTTTTGGCACCAAGGGCGGGTTTCATGAAAGACTTTTTCCACAAAGGGAGTGGAGGGGATTCAAGTGGAGGCTGACTCAAGCGCATCACGTCTCCCCCTCAGACATCAGGCATTAGATTCTCATAAGGAGCACAACCGAGATCCCTCACACACACAGTTCACAGTGGGGCCTACCCACCTCCTATTGTATGGCTGGGGCTGGGAGCCCTGGCTTTTCACCAAGCAGTATCCTGTCTCTCATGTGCTTGGGCCGGTGGGTGAGGACAGGCCGTGTCATGCTGCCCCATCCACTGGCAGGTGCCCCCCAGTCCCTACTCAGACAAGGTGTGCCCAGAGTGTGCCTCCAGCCCAGGGGAGCTGCCAGGAGGGGCGGCAGCAATGGGATCTCTATCCCCTGGAAATGGCTTCACCTTCCCCAGCCTGTTTCTTCACCTGTAAAGAGATAAACATAAATGTCAATGGTTTGGGGCAGCGCCAGGGTTGTTGCAGTTTGGCCAGCGCCAGCCCCCACCCCCAGGTGGGTTCGAACCTGGCCCTGACCAAACTGCAACAACAAAAACAACAAAAATAGCCGGGTGTTGTGGAGGGTGCCTGTGGTCCCAGCTACTCTGGAGGATGAGGCAAGAGACTCGCCTAAGCCCAAGAGCGGGAGGTTGCTGTGAGCTGTGACGTCACCGTACTCTACAGAGGATGACTCAGTGAGACTCTGTCTCTGAAAACAAAGTGTTAATAGTTTTATTTTTTCCTTTAGGGCTACTTTATTATTATTATTATTATTACTGTTGCTAAAGTAAAAACAAGTAAAAAAAATACAAATGTAGCAAAGAAAAGATCTCCTTCTAAAATCCTCCACTCCCATTCCACAGAGGAGTGAACATGGTATTCTAATGTGTACGACCCTTCGTTATGTTCGCATACAGGCTTATGGGGACATTTTGGGGAAAGGAAGTTACACCGCGGGGGGGGGGTCACACATGCATCTTTCTTGCTGACTCAGTGATAGAGCGCGTACAGTTCCCCAGCCATTCATACACCTTGTTCTGCACTGGAAGATGCGTGATATTTCCTGGTATGGCTGGACCGTATTTCAATTAACTTTCTTCTACTGACCTTGAGGTCATTTCTAGTTTGGGGCCATTACAAATGATGCTGGAACAGCATCCCGTGCACATGTCCCAAGGTACTGCTGCTTTCATTTCCGTAGGATAGAGGACCTGCACAAGGTGTATTGTTAGCAGATTTCAGACTACTTTCTGGAATGACTGTGGCAGTTAACACTCAAACATTGCCCATTGCTTGACACCTGCCTACCTAGCAGCTTATTGCCTATTTTATTTTTTCAATTTTCTGAAATACCTAGAGAACGTGATATAAAGATAAAAGTATAGTGGTAGCTAACTCAAAATAAAATCAAATAGTCAAAAAAGATCCTATAGCATTTGAATTTACAACCTTGATTTAATAGTGCTATGAACAGAGCAGAGCCTCCACAGTTGACCACCTCCTTAAGTTGACCTAGTTTTCAGAGACGGGACATGCACCACAGTAGTTCCTTATTTTGACCACCTCCACGTGTTGACCTGTTGGTTACAGTCCACTGGGTGGTCAACTTACTTATATACGTATGTCTGTTTGTATATATGAGATGTAACAGTTAAGTTCATGAACTCATCCTAGAAAAAGTGCTCCATACCTCACTGTCCAATATCACTAAGTTCACCTTTGAAGTCCCCCCTTTGGAAGCTCTGCACCAATGCCAGCGCCTGGCCCACCCTTCAAAGCAATTTTGGGTCTCTTTTTCTGGAATGGCCATCCCAGATGTTGTCGTATTACCCTTGATGTCCCGAATATCATAAAAATGTCTTCTTTTCAATATTTCCTTTATCTTTGGGTAAATAAAAAAGTCATTGGGGGCAGACAGGTAAGTAAGGAAGGTGTTCCAATTCAGTCATTTGTTATTGTCTAAAAACTCCCTCATAGACAGTCTTCATTGGTGAGCTGCTTGGGACCATTTTTGCACATACCTTATGCCAAGATTTTCAGTTAAGATTTTCCTGTTTCTTGGGCGGCACCTGTGGCTCAAAGGAGTTTGGCACTGGCCCCATATGCCAGAGCTGGTGGGTTCAAACCCAGACCTGGCCAAAAACTGCAAAAAAAAAAAAAAAAAAGATTTTCCTTTTTCTCTATTGATATGTACAATCGATCTGCTATGCTTCTCACTGTCACCCAATGTTTTTACACATGATTTGATGAATTTTTGCAATGTTTTTGTCAGTTCTACTCATTACTGGCTGCCCTGACCACTCTTCATCAGTGACACTTTCTCTCCCCTCAGAAAAACATTGAATCCATTTGTACACTGCCATGTTCTTTATGGCATTATCCCCGTAAACATGGACTAACATGTCCCTGATTGCACTTCACTCTTGCCAAGTTTAATGAGAAATTTATGAATGTTTGCTCTAATTCAAGCTCCTACATTCTCGTGATGACATGTAAGAACATGCAACAGCAATAACGAACGCCACTCAGCCAGACACCTCCATATTCTGACACCAACACAGCTGTGAGACACTCACCTACCAAGGTTATGAACCCACAATGAGCTGTTTATACAGTGCTGCCAACACAAGTGCACCGTGGCAAGTTGTTGAAGTTAAACTGTCAGGCCTCGTGTGTATTCACACGTGTGCACACACACAGGAAGAAAAATTCCAGTGTCCCTTGCTCCGTGGACATTGTCTACAGAATGGAGCAGGTGGCTGGGCCTCGGGCACACACTGCACAGCCTGCGTGGGTTTTAACAAGCAGCAAGTGAGATGATGATTATGAGGTGACCAGCCCAGGGCGAGGTCTGAACCTGTGCTCGATAAATGTTAGTTCCTATTCTCTTTCTCTTTCACATCTTACCAGAAAAGATGAGGGCTTAGCATGCTGTACACCACAGCAGAGACTCAGGGAAGGGAAGGGAGCAAGCTCTGAAAAGCTCCCTCTGCAGCCCCACTAGAAATGACGGAGAAACTCCGCTCAGAGACGTGCCTGCTCCATCTGATGGAGAAACTCCGCTCAGAGACGTGCCTGCTCCATCTGATGGAGAA